GAGACCACCAGGAAATCCCAGGGCTAGACTGAGACATGGGGGTGGGGGGGAAAAGGGAATTCCATTCATTTGGCCCCCAAAAGACAACGGACTTACTCCCATTTTTGAACAATTGTTACAGCAACACCTCAGTGGACATCTTAAGAAAAGCTAAACAGGGATGGGAGACCACCAGGAAATCCCCCGGCTAGAATCATTGAAAAAAAAAAGGGGGGGCTTTCATTCATTTGCCCCTCTAAAAGACAACAGAGTTGCTCCCATTTTCATGCAATTGTTACAGCAACACCCCGGTGGCCATCTTAAAAGAAAGCTAAACAGGGATGGGAGACCACCAGGAAAATCCAGGGCTAGACTGAGGCATTAAAAAAAACAAAAGGGAGTCCCAGTCATGTGCCCCTCAAAAGAGAACTGACTTCCTCCCATTTTTGTGCAATTACAGCAAACACCTCGGTGGGCATCTTCAAATAAAGCTAAGCAGGGATGGGAGACCACCAGGAAATCCCCCAGCTAAACTGAGGCATTGGGGAAAAAAAACAAAACCAGGGGAGCTCCATTCATTTGCTCCCCAAAATGAGAACTGACATGTCTGGGAAGTCAGCAGGAGACGCCATTTAGTGATTTATCGAGGAGAAACTGAGGCTGGGAGATTGGCGGCCCACATCTGGACTGATTTTCCATCCCCTGGAGGCCCTTGAATGGGAAGGAGCCCGTCTCCCTTACTTAAGATGCCCCACCCAGTTACACCCAGCACCGCCTGGGCGGAACTCAATCTGTCCTTCCAGGGTAGAACACTCAGATTGAGAAACATCGATCTAAATCTATTTGAGTACTTTAAGTGTGTAACCCCATCAATTATGCGAATAAAGCAATACAGATAATCCTTGACTTACAACCTTTCCTTTCGTGGCCGTCCCAAGCTACGACGGCACTGTTAAAAGTGACTTAGGGCCCGTTTTCACACTTAACGACCATGGTAGTGTCCTCGATCACAGGATCAAAATTCAGATGCTTGGCAACTGACTCGATGTTGGTCGTAAAAACCGAGCACAACTCACTGAAACAAAAGTTTTGCTTCGCAGCAGAAATGTTGGGGCTGGACTCAATTCTGGGAATTAAAGGCCACGAGTCTTAAAGTGGCTGGCTGAGGAATTCTGGGAGTTGAAGTCCAATAGTCTTAAAGTTGCTGGCTGAGGAATTCTGGGAGTTGAAGTCCAATAGTCTTAAAGCAGCTAGCTGAAGAATTCTGGGAGTTGAAGTCCATGAGACTTAAAGTTGCTGG